GGGAGTAGGCCGTGGAGAGAAGAGGGTTACTGGGGGCTCTACCTGGGAGTATTAGCCCCAGTTCCTGCTCTCTCATTCTCATACACACCCCTTCCTGGCTGTGAACACTTCTGTTCGCCATGGCCATTTCTGCCCTGAAGCTAGCTGACGTTGGGCTGAATCCCCTGGAAACCATGAGCAAAATAAACTTGAGGGTGTTATTTTGTTCCAGTGACAGGAGTGACTAATACAATTACCTCTTCTCTATTAGACTGCTTTTTCTCCTTTGTCAAAGATCAAGGGACTGTTACTTATGTGAAGTATTTCTGGACTCTCCATGCTGCTACACTGCTTTTTTTTTTTTGGTACTGGGGATCAAATTCAGGACCTTGCACTTGCCAGGCAGGCTCTAATGCTGCTGAGCTACCTCCCCCCAGCAGCACTACACTGTCTTTTTTTTTTTTTTTTTTTTTTAATGTATTGAGTACAGGGCCTACAGGTCTCACTACTGGACTCTAGTGAACCTATTTTCAGTCCCCAAGCGTTGGGATTACAGGCTTGCTCCACCATGCCCAGTCTCACCCGGGGGCGGGGCCTGCATGGCTTGTGATGCCTGGGATCCAGCCCTTGTGCCTGCACTCTGCCTAACCAGGCACTTCAGTCTGCTGAGCTATCTGGCCAGCCCCACACTGTCTTGATTACTGTACTTCATAGTAAATTTTGAAGTTGGGTAGCATAAGTCCTCTGGCTTTGTTGTTTTTGAGTATTATTTGGCTCTTCTATTTTCCATACAAACTTTAGAATTAATTTGTCAAAATAACTTTGTGGGATATTGATTGGGTTTGCATTTAGTCTACAAATCAAGTTGGGAAGAACTGACATTTTGATAATGTCAAGCCTTATTGTCCATGTGAATGCTCATTTATTTGTTTTTATCAGTTTTTTTCACATTTTTTCACATTTTATAAATATTTTGCGAGACCCAGTCCTAGCCCAGGTCCGGTGAGTGTGTGGAGAGCTT